AGTGACGTCGTAACTTCGGTTGTTTCACCTTCTTTGATCATGATTGGTTAATCTGACTGTCATCTATGTAACTGGCCAATGACAACTGTGCGCGCCTTTTTACTGGTCAAGTTTGAAAAATCAAATACATTTGAGTTGATGACGACGGCTGCTCAGCAAATTACTCGGTCTTCAATTATTATTTTGAACTAATTTGCGATGTGACATGTAAACGAAGGAGAACAGAAGATGTGAACACACGACGCTCAGACTGGATGCGTGAGATCCTGCAATATTGGCGATCAGGTAAGAGAAACATTTTTCTGTCTCCACTATCATTTTAGAAAAACTGAGATATAAACGTTTAGGTATTACATTCAAATAAGTGGATGAGAGTGTTAATATAGTTCATGGTTGAATATATAATGCAGATAAACAAAACGTGTGTGAATGGAGTTCATTAACTACCCAGAAATGTTCTGTGTAACTTAACGTTAACGTCACATACGAGAGTTTTATAAACGGATAATGGACGTAGGCTACTAAGTTACCTGCAGTTGTGTTTGTAACGTTTAACATAACGGGTAGCTAACCATATTATCTGAAAGCCAACGTTAGTGCTTCTGAGTAAGTGTATTTGATTGTGCTAAAGTGGAACTATTGCCAAATATACTTTTGGTACACTTAATAGTAGTAACGTTATTACTTTTTGGTCGTAATATATATATATATATATAATGTTCATTGTGTAATAAAGTCTCTTAGGTGATGTGTCAATAAATATGTTAATGAAATTGAAGTATAATTAGTATGAAATGTTGTTCTAATATATTCTGGTAGAAGTTATTTATTTATTTACTAGGGAAGTAGAATCCAAATGAGTAAAGTGACTGATATATTGTGAAAAGCGCTATATAAATATGATTTGGACTGATAAAACGGTCATTTACTCTCTGAAACACTGGAATCTACAGAAGAGTTGAGAAATGTTATTTGGTCTAACGTTAAATCTCTTATATTTTAGTAGATGCCCGTTTCTAAATATTTTGACATCACCTCTTAAAAAACTGACAACTGCTAATCTTAAGAGATTTGTTTATTTTTTATTATTTTTATATATCAACAGGAAGAAGATTTTTGGGGGGAGAGCAGGCACCCAACAGAGAGACAAATCCACAACGGCATGAATTATCAACTTCATTATGTAAGTCAGTTTTAACCATTGCTTCTAAACCTTACATTGGGATTAATATATTATGTTGTCAAAAGTATTATACTCATCATCAAAAGTCATATCCTCTACCAGTGACAAATCTGAGTAACTAATTATCTTTATGTCTTTCTTCCTCTAAAGTGACAAAAGAAAGGAGAACATGTCACCATCATGAGCCCTTTATTTAGTTCACGAAGAACATCAAGGGAAAGACCCTCAGACGTGTCATAACAGGATAAATGTGGCTACAGGTAAAATTGTTTGATGGTTTGTTTGATTTTGAGTAGCAATTTCTTTTTTTAAAGCTTCAATTGATGTGATGTGACATGTGTCCCCAAACTCGGAATTTGTGCTCTTCATTTCATCCATTCAAGTGCACACACACACACACACAGCAGTGAGTATTAAACACACACAGTGGAGACCGGGGAGCTATTGGGCTATTTTTCATGTTCTCTGAATGTTTTATAATGGCAAATGTTGGTATGATATTGAACGTTTTGTTTTAATATTGTTAAGGACGCATCACCCCACCCCATCCCAGATTGACCAAGATCCAGATGAGTACTGGCAATTTGGTGGAGGATTGCTCTTTATCTACTACATTGTACTGCCACTTCCGGTATGGATTTATTAACCTTTTGAGGTGTTTTGATTGTACTTAATTTAATACATTTTTCAAAATTAGATTTTACATAATTTAATTAGAGTATTTAGCCCATGATTTACTCACCCCTCAAGCCATCCTTTGGTGTATATTAGCCCACGTTCTTCTTTCAGACAAATACAATCAGAGTTTTATTAATAAACACCCTGACGCTTCCAAGTTTCGTAATGGCAGTGGATTGCAAACTATTAGTTTAAAAAAGCTCAAAAAAGTGCATCCATCCATCATAAACTCCACACGGCTCCAGGGGGTTAATAAAGGCCTTCTGAAGCAAAAATTTTGTTTGAAAAATATTCGTATTTAAACTTTTTAAAGTAAAACAACTAGCTTCCAACTAAATGGCCATAAGCAGCCTACTTGCAAACTTATGCAATTGACCTATGGCTAAGCCACGCCCCCTCCACTCACTTGGACAAACAGTCAACATTCGGGACAGGCGCTATGCAGACATTTACAGGACAATGGGCTATAGACATTAATTCGGCATTTGACGCAGGATTGCTCGTCCATTTCGGTTGTGTAGATTAAAGCGGAGGAAAACGGAGAAACGGGATTATGCAGAATCTTCAATATTTACTGTCCTCCCGTCTTGAAACGAAACGTACATACGTTTAGATGTAAGTTTTATATATAGTTATGTTTATTTAATATAATTTGAAGCATTAAACACAATGAGGGGTGTCTGTTTTATCTGTTTTTGTTAACGTTTCATTAGTATAACCATGGAGGTATACAATTCAATATAAATCTCGCTATTGCATTGGACTCTACGATCGGCGGAAGTATCGAGCATCTTAATCTTCACCGGAATAACGCCCTGCATAGACCCATTGTGATTTTGGAGACAGAAATAATATTATCATCTCAAAGTCACCTTAAGGGCCTTAAATGCATTGGAGGTTATATTAATAATTTTTGTGTTGAGAAGGTCGATGAAAAGCTTCAGCTCCAGCAAAAATGTAATTTACAGGTCATGTAAACGTGATATACCGCATATCGTTGCCATCACCGTTTGGTGCTACAGTATTTACATGAATCATTCAGCACAACATTGTTAACATTTGTTATCTCGGTTATTTACAGATACGTTAATTAAGCTAAGTGACATGATGTACAAAGCAGCTAGAAGGCTAACTTTAGTTGTTGTTGTGGTCTACCGCGGCGCATGACTTAATCGCATAACTTAATCCAGAGCAGACACTTATCTCTGTTGAGAAGTGGCTTGGGAAAGGGTAAAGAAATACACACCGTCGCCCAGTCTCTCGGGAACCTAGTGTCGGAGTTGTATGTACCCCATGCACACCGTTTGACCATTTTAAACTTAAAATGACAAAAAACCTAATGAAAACTGACTAACTGCAATGCATTTCAATGGACGTGGAAGCAGAGAATGTCCGAGTGTATTAGGTTAGGTGCGCACTGCTCATCGTGTTTGACTGAATGGCTTAGCCATAGGTCAATTTGTGACGTCAGAAGTAGCGTAGTGCATAATGGTGTAGAGTAAATATCAACTTAAAACCACATAAGTTGCACTTTACACTTAAGTGCAATCTGTATGTTTGCTTGGCCGGAAGCTGGTTATTTTATTTAATAAAGTTTTAAATATGAATATTTGATAATGCTTTAGATTACAGCCTGGAAAGTACTGCGTAATTAAAGCGATTTAACAGCGTAACCTTTGGTAATTATAGTGTACCTATAACATACTTACAATATAAGTATAAAGGAACAATATATTAAGTTTGGGGAATAAGGAGGTAACAACCAGGAGAATTAAACAATTATTTATACTGTAAGTATTAAAGGACTAAAGGGTGTTTATCCTACTATTGTGATAACAATCTTACATTTGGGAGCAATTTCACCAGAAAATTGTACACTGCGTACCTTTCTGAAATAAAGGTGAACCAATACCTACTCTAAAATTACAGGCTTTTAAAAAAAATTACAGGGTACATATACATTTATAAAGTCATCTTTTTTACTTAAGTGCACTGAAACGAAAACTATTGCAACTTTTGCTTAAATATTGGGGAAAGATACACTTGTTTCATGTGGTGGTGCTTGTTACCCCCTTGTTCCATGTAGTTACAGGGTAAGTACAATAAAAATACATACACAGTTTTATATCACTGACTTGGAAACCTTTATTTATTATACAAGCACCACTTACCCTGTAACCACATCAAACAAAATATATGTCCCAGTATTTAAAAAAAAATGCAATAGTCTTAGCTTTTCTTGCCTTGAAACATGTTAGCCAAAACTTAAACATCTGCACTTTTGCTATAATTTTTTTTAAAAATATTAAAGAATTGTATAAATGCCTATGTACCCTGTCCTTTAAAAAAAGCCTATACAGTATTGATACACAATTTTTACAAAAAGGTTTGCAGTGTATGTACTCGCTAAATTGCTCCCAAATGTAAGACTGTTGTATCATAATAGTAGAATAAGTAACCCTTATTTCTATAATACTTACAGTATAAATATATATTTTTAATTATCCTGGTTGTTACCCCATTATTCCCAAAACTTTACCCATATACTTACATGCAAGTCCTTTATAGGTACACTATAATTGCAGAAAGTTACACTGTAAATTCCTCTTAATTACATAGTACATTCCGGGCTGTAATCTAAAGCGTTACCGAATATTTTTCTTACACAAACTCATGGCTTTGCTTCAGAAGGCGTTTAATAACCCCCTCCCACTGTATATGCGCTCTTTTGACTCTGTTGATGCCTTCAAATGCAGACTAAAGTCTCATTTATTTGTTCAGGCTTTTAATTAGGTACCTGTGTTACATGATATGGTCATGTACTGTCTATGCTTTTATTGTGTGTATTTTATGATATTAATGTTTTTGTTCTAAGGCACTTTGTTGCCTTGTACCTGTGAAATGTGCTATATAAATAAACTTTTACTTACTTACTTAGTTAACCTAACCCTAATATCTGGCCGATTGATCGGAGCATTCCTAATTTTACTTTAAAAGTAATCATAAATCATTATACTCATTATGCATACTTTATAAACTGTTTTTTATTGCTTTCCCAAATGCCCTTCCAGTGACATTCCAAAACCGTCACCATTCCTATATAATTTTTTTGCTGTTTTTTTTTTATCCTGAGTAAAAATTGTTATTCTGTCATAAGGTATTGTGACGTGTAAGTAACATGATTTTTCTAAAATCAAAATCCCTAAAAAAAAAAAAAAAAATGTTTTGCAGAGGCTCTTAAGAAGACAACACAGATCAACTGGCAAGGAACTGAGAGGGAACTCTCAAAATAGTCCAGGACAAGAGATGGAGGAGGAGAGTGTCTAGATGCGCAAATGACTGTCTGCAGTGTAAGCTGTACTGATAAATGTACTGTATAGTTGCTGCTTCTTCTAACTGTCACCAATTTATATCCTGTTCAAATGTTCAGTAAAGACTGGGTCAAATACAGGTTCAAAATATGTATTTTAACAAATAGGTATTAAATAGAACTCTTTAATCTGACATAAATCTGCTTCTTTAAATATTGTCCCTGGAATTTCAGAATATAGCATAATATGATGATGAGTAATTTTAATAAAATTGAAAATATTTCAATATCACTGTGTGCTCTAATGCTTTAAAACTTGTTTGTGTGGTGTTGCTACTCATTTAGATGGAGCCCAGATGATCCCTAATTGGGCCACATGCATATGATTCCTAGTTGGGCCCCACCTAAAGCCCTGTGAAATCCTGTATAAAAGAAATCCTGAATCCTGAAATCCAGCAAGTTGCTGGGGCCAGCATGGAACCTATGGACAAACCCACTTAAAGCCCATATTTCAGCCCATATAGTAACCTTGTAGTACCCACAAAAAACTAAAGCTGGGACCAAGATAGGTCTTGTGCATGTTGCCCAGTTGGGGCCCACCTGTTTATAAGTGCGATCCTACATGAAACCCACCTGGGCGATCTACATGGCACCATTATGGAACCCGTGGACAATCCCATACAGAGCCCACTTTTCATTTCAAAGCCACATGGGACCCACATACAAATGTCGGCTGGGTTAAAGCTGGGCCCGAGATGGGTCTTGTGCATGTTGCCCACTTGGGTCCGGCCTAGTACCAAGTGTAATCCTACATAAAATTCATCTGGGCAATTTACATAGGGCCATTATGTAACCCGTGGACAATCCCATACAGAGCCCACTTTTCATTTCAAAGCCACATGGGACCCACATACAAATGTCGGCTGGGTTAAAGCTGGGCCCGAGATGGGTCTTGTGCATGTTGCCCACTTGGGTCCGGCCTAGTACCAAGTGTAATCCTACATAAAATTCATCTGGGCAATTTACATAGGGCCATTATGTAACCCGTGGACAATCCCATACAGAGCCCACTTTTCATTTCAAAGCCACATGGGACCCACATACAAATGTCGGCTGGGTTAAAGCTGGGCCCGAGATGGGTCTTGTGCATGTTGCCCACTTGGGTCCGGCCTAGTACCAAGTGTAATCCTACATAAAATTCATCTGGGCAATTTACATAGGGCCATTATGTAACCCGCGGACAATCCCAATCAAAGCCCATTTTTCAGCCCATTTCAAACCCACATGGGCCCCACATATAAATATCGGCTGGGTTAAAGCTGGGACCGAGATGGGTCTTGTGCATGTTGCCCACTTGGGTCCGGCCTAGTACCAAGTGCAATCCTACATGAAATTCATCTGGGCAATTAACATGGGGCCATTATGTAACCCGTGGACAATCCCAATCAAAGCCCATTTTTCAGCCCATTTCAAACCCACATGGGCCCCACATATAAATATCGGCTGGGTTAAAGCTGGGACCGAGATGGGTCTTGTGCATGTTGCCCACTTGGGTCCGGCGTAGTACCAAGTGCAATCCAACATGAAATTTATCTGGGCAATTAACATGGGGCCATTATGTAACCCGCGGACAATCCTACATGGGGCCCATTTTTCAGCCCATTTCATACCCATATGGGCCCCACATACAAATGTTGGCTGGGTACTGTTATTTAAAAGTAATTCATTACCTTACAATATTACTGTCCCAGAATTGTAATGCGTTACATTACTCATGTATTACTTTTGAGTTACTTTCATCAAAAAAACTAAGTAGAACTTAACTTTTGGGCTGTAACGATGAGCAATATGAAACCGAAATCGCGATTCGCCACACGACTCAGATCCACGAACCTACAGAATCGCGACACACCTCTTCCAACTCCAGCGTTATTCTCCTTACCCTCCAGATCCAATGCTGCCTTATCTAAATTAGGCTATTACTATTATTTGAAGTTAACATTATAAAATACGTAGACCTACACAAAACTAGTTGAGGATAAATTATTTAAAATTGGGGAAGTCCAGCATTATGGACATGACATTTGCAGTCAAAACTTGAAATAAAAATTCTCAGAAAATACATGCATTGAAACGTATATTGGCTACTTCCTTAAAGGACTCCAGACATTAGACAAATATCAGTCTATGTTTTATTTTTAATATTAGGGAAAAGAAACACATTCATGCGTGACAAAAAATAGGAGGTAAAATATATTTTTTGTAATTCTGTTAATTACACTGCGCAAATCGGATGTGGAAGGGTTGGCTTTCCAGTCTCCATAGAACCTTAAAATATTCATTTTATTTTAGTTTTCGTGTTCGCATTTATGAGGAAAAAACAATGTTACAGACGCGACCGCTCTGAACTGGCACTAAAAGACTGCTTTAAAACTTTCACATAGTCTGTTGCCTTTAAGAAGAAAAAGCAGACAATACACTGTAATACAACTGTAATACAAGCCTCACTGAACATGTAACGAGTAAAATATTACTGAAAATTGATTAGTAATGCCTTACACTACTGCGTTACAGCAAAAAGTAATATGTTACTGTAATGTATTACTTTTGTAATGCGTTACTCCCAACACTGATAGTGGTAACATTTACACGTTTGGCAGACGCTTTTATCCATAGCGACTTATATTGCATTTCAAGGTAAACATTTACATTCTTATCTGTTCTTGGATTCCCTGGGAATCAAACCCATGACCAACACGCTACTGTTTGAGCCACAGGAAAGTAGATAGCTAAAAATAGCACTTGGGTTTGCAGTGTAATGTTTTGGAGGGGAATGGGGTGTTGGTGTTGAGAGGCTTGAGCTGCTGGCGTCCGCCTGCTGGCTGGTTAACTAATTAGCTCTTTTGTATCTTGAGTAAATCCGGGCTGTATTAATGCAACACGGAAGTCACTCTGTAAGTGTTGGGCACAAACTACTTAAAAAGAGGTCACATTTTCTAAGTATACCCTGCAGGCACGATTCCCTCCACTCCCATGTCTCACACTCATGTTGCGGTCGGGTCTTCTACAAAATATCGACACTCTAATGATGACACTGAGTATTGTTATGCCACTGAGGAAAATCGGGAACTCGAACACGACAGTGCTTTTACTTTAGCAGGCTGACTTGTGAAATTAGAATAAATTATACATTTCAAACAAGGCCTACATGTTAAGGTCATTCATCTCAGGTTTCACTCTCTTTTCCTTATAATGACAGCCTGAAACTTTGTGTCTGGTGACTCATCAGTGATTCAGACATCTCTTTTTCTCCATGTAAAAACAAAAAAAAAAAACCCACAAACTCATTAGGCAATACTCTATCTATCTATCTATCTATCTATCTATCTATCTATCTATCTATCTATCTATCTATCTATCTATCTATCTATCTATCTATCTATCTATCTATCTATCTATCTATCTATCTATCTATCTATCTATCTATCTATCTATCTATCTATCTATCTATCTATCTACAGTATCCATCCATCCATCCATCCATCCATCCATCCATCCATCCATCCATCTATCTATCTATCTATCTATCTATCTATCTATCTATCTATCTATCTATCTATCTATCTATCTATCTATCTATCTATCTATCTATCTATCTATCTATCTATCTATCTATCTACAGTATCCATCCATCCATCCATCCATCCATCCATCCATCCATCCATCCATCCATCCATCCATCCATCCATCCATCCATCCATCCATCCATCCATCCATCCATCCATCCATCCATCCATCCATCCATCCATCCATCCATCCATCTATCCATCCATCCATCTATCTATCTATCTATCTATCTATCTATCTATCTATCTATCTATCTATCTATCTATCTATCTATCTATCTATCTATCTATCTATCTATCTATCTATCTATCTGTCTACAGTATCCATCCATCCATCCATCCATCCATCCATCCATCCATCTATCTATCATCTATCCATCTATCCATCTATCTATCTATCTATCTATCTATCTATCTATCTATCTATCTATCTATCTATCTATCTATCTATCTATCTATCTATCTATCTATCTATCCATCTATCCATCTATCCATCTATCCATCTATCTATCTATCTATCTATCTATCTATCTATCTATCTATCTATCTATCTATCTATCTATCTATCTATCTATCTATCTATCCATCTATCCATCTATCCATCTATCTATCTATCTATCTATCTATCTATCTATCTATCTATCTATCTATCTATCTATCTATCTATCTATCTATCTCTGTTTTCCATCTCTCTGCCCTGCATGACACTGTTCGATTAGCAAAGTTGGTTTCCACAACTCTCCATTGTCAGAGGCTCCTCTCCTGGTGCTGAATAGATGAATGGAAATGGGGAGGAAAAAAAAGAAAAGGGGTCGGACATGTATCCCTAATTGGGAGTGGGAGGGAGAAAAGGTGGGCGGGGGGCACGGTTGTCTCTGCGTACAGCTGAAAGCGATATCCTTGTCTCCCCTAGCTTGCCCCACTCCCCTCTGCTCCACCCACAGGATACCTGAGAGTGAGGGTCTCTGGGGAACTGGACTAGGGGAGGCTTTCAGTGGCCATGAAAGGAGAGCGTAATAAAACACAAGAAAACTCCTGACAATATACAGTATCCCTCCCTAGAGCATGGCTCACAGCTGAAACACTATATGTGCTGCCACTGTACAATGGGGGCAAGAGTCCCTTAATAGATGCGTGGCCTTCACAGGTGAGTGGGTGGGACAGCCAGTGCTCTCCAAGCCTGGCAGAGTTAAATGAGTTCAAGGCATTGAGAGAGATGAGAGGGGCAAGGAAGGTCCTGGTGCATGATTTCAGTTTACATACTTTACTTCTGGAAATTTTTTTGATGCTGAATAAATCAATAATTTTCTGAATGAAATCACAATAATTTGAACCTTCAGAGCTTTGGTTGATATCACAATATTAATATTAACAATATTCACTCCGAAAATTGCAAGTAACACATTGAATTAAACATGAAATTTTGAAGCAGAATAAACAAAGTACATTTTCTTGCAAACCATACTCCACTAATCTTTGTTTACAACTTCAATTTGAAGTTCACGACTGCATATCAATTCTGCATCCAGAGAAAACCCCACACAGGAGGCTCTTAGATGGGGTTTACACCACAAATCTCCCCCTGTAATCTATAAGTCAAAGCATTCACCATAGTTTTAAAGAAAGAATTGCCCCTCGTGTTCTGAGGCGTCGCTGGAAAAAG